GTCCGCTCATGGCGCCGGCGACTTACGTCCTATAATGAGAAAAACGTAGCGTTAAGACACTGACACACAAGGCCAAAGTGTCAATTATTAGTCGATGAATTGCTACTGGTTTATTTTTACACTTTACATTATACTCTCACCGCTGAAAGTTGAATTATAAAGTCAACCGAACTGATAAAGCATCCACCGCAACTGCCTGCAAAATATCTTCGCGAGTCATCGTCAACTTTTAGCGGTTCGAGTTAGTTTTTGATATAAATATTAATGATGGATAGACTTTTTGTGAGATCCGTGATTGTGCAGACGTGTATTCGATCGAACTGTGGCGTAACCGGTCATTGTCCTGTGCTACATAAGCTGTTTAGCAATGTGCTTATTTTTACTAGTCATAAACGATTTGTATATATATTTATGTATTTTTAAATTTATTATTAAATAAGAAAAGTCATTTCAGTTCACCGAAACAAGTACACTTGGCAAAATTTAAATTCTTTAGGTATTTAGCAAAAAATAAAATATATACGACTTCTTCACTTATTTTTTCGTTTCCAAGTCGAGTTTCATTATAATACGTTCATACCAGGACTATGTTAGGAAGACCAGCGCATTCATAGTTGAAGGGTTAGTGCACAAATATGTTCTCTAGTGGCAGTATAGTTCGATTGTTAGTACGGTTGACCGTACGGCATTGTCCTAATACAACGCGATAACGCGAATGAGCGATGCGATCATCGTACGAGTCGACGATCAAACATATTGATCTAGAATAGGTGTCCTAATAGGCGATCGCTCGATGTTTAAAAAGCTATTCGCGCGATCTTAGTTCGCGCGAACTCGCAATCAAACCTATTAATGATGAATAGGTGTCCTAACTGAAGTTCGCGTGATGATCGCGTCGCGTCGATAGGAAGCGGGGAGAGGGGCAGGGCTAACCCGTTCCGTATTCGCGTTCTATTAGGACACCCAGTTCGCGATCACGCGATGGTCGCATCGTTTAAACGCGCGATGATCGCGTTATCGCGTTGTATTAGGACAATGCCTACTAATGCAACTTTTTAGTGCATTCGGCACAACGAGTCCTAAACTACGCAACAAAATTTTCACTATCAGTTAAATAATTCATGGAATGTTTATAAATTATATAAAGAAATTCATTTTGTTTAATACAAGTCTGAGAACAAAAACTATAGTCTACACTACAGCTATACGTCGAAGAGAAGCTAGGGCGGGCCACTAGTGCATAATAAAAATTATAACTATTTCCATTACAAGCTAGATGATAACAAAAATAATGTATGACGCAGAAAGTATATTATATAACTAGTCAGGAATGGAAGGCAGGAGTCTGAAATAGGTAGACCCCGTTCTATGGCCGTCACCTCTCAAGGTTTAATAACATACCTACAAGTTTTTTTTTAATGTAATTAATATCTACGATGATACATAATACTTGTAAAGGACATTATTGTTTGTTGTTGTTGACACAATAGTTTGACATTGTGGGTTAACTACAAGCCTTGCAGCCTTAAAATTACTAAAGTATACTAAAATTCGACACGGCCATTAGGGCTGCGGTCGCATAATGGTCGGTGCATCCGCCCGGATAGCGGACGACTAATGCGTGAATAAACAAAACGTCATATCTTGTAAAAAAAAACATGCAATAAAGTACATAGCGTGTTAGTTTACCTTTCCCAAAACTACGACGAAATGTTAGGTATGGTGCTTGCGATGCGTTGTATGCAGTTTTTTCATGGGACAGAACATGTTTGCTGTACAGTTGTTAGTGTTTACCACCTTCACCATACATGACATCACTGGTATTATATGAACAGTGCTCAACAATCGAGTATGATAAAAGTGGCTTTAAAATAAACCGTTTAAAGCACACGTCACTCACACGCGGATTATAAATAAATATATAGAAAAACAAAGATCATCACAAATAAATACCAGCAGAAATACAGCAAGTATTTGTTTCTATTTCCACATACATACTTAGTATCAGGTCTTTATTCCTTACGGGGTAGACAGAGCATAAGGCCGTGGGACCCTAGACCACGTTTTATTTCCGAACGATTGTTTTGAGAACGAAGTTAACTCCTTTTATAGGTAATCTGTGACCGGCCGCGCCAACATTTCACGGGAAAACGTCATGTCATCGAGTGCCGGAACAAACTTGTGTCTGAAGTCGCAACTTTGTTAAACCAAGTAACGAATTGGGGTCGACTTATTCTAGTCCAATTTAACCCTACGAAGACACAAGTATGCGCGTTCACCGCAAAAAAAAAATACCATTTGTCGTATCTCCTTTTTTTGAGAACACTCCTCTAACTGCCTCAGCTAGTATTGGAATTCTTGGCGTTGACATATCGAGCGACGTCCAGTTTCGGGATCATTTAGATGGCCAGACCAAATTGGCCTCTAAGAAGCTTGGTGTGCTCAATAGATCAATAATGTACTTCACACCGGCCCACCGACTACAGCTTTACAAGGCACTGGTTCGGCCTCACATGGAGTACTGCTTTCATCTGGCGGGGGCACCCCAGTACCAGCTTCTTCCTTTGGATCGCATCCAGCGCCGAGCGGCTCGAATCGGCGACGACCAGGACCTTTCCGATCAGCTTGATCCTTTGGCTTTGCGTAGGGATGTAGCTTCGCTCTGCATCTTCTATCGCATTTATCACGGGGAATGTTCTGAGGAATTGTTCGGATTAATTCCAGCTGCTGCATTTCGCCATCGTACATCGCGACAAAAATTTCATCCCCATCATCTTGATGCGTGGCTATCTACAACCGTGCGTTTTTGTCGAAATTTTTTACCACGTACGACAAAACTGTGGAATATGTTGTCGCCAGCAGTGTTTCCGGACCAATACGACCCAAGAACCTTCAAAAAAAAGAACGTAGTCCTTCCTTAAAGGCCGGCATTGCATTTGTGATACTCCTGGTGTTGCAAGTGTCCATGGGCGACGGTGATCACTTACCATCAGGTGAGCCGTCTGCTCGTATGCCCCCTATAACATAAAAAAAAAAGACAACAATCTATTTTTACGCTACCATTCCTACATGACGACAAGAAACAAAAAAAGAACAAACTTTTACCATGAAACACAACACACAACACTTGGCAAGTAAAATTTCACTAATTTCGATTCTTTTAAACTATGTACCACAAGCAAGCTAATCACTTATCACAATAGACATAAATTACATACGAATCCGTTCATGCGAATGCGCGCGAAATAATGACCAATTACCTGTGGCCTGTCGAGGATAAATTACTCTGATTGAACGAAAACTTTTCAAGCGAAACGAAACCTTAACACGTGACAAATAAAGATTGCAGGCTATCTAAGATCGGCTTATAAGCGCTGTTATATCGACGAGTAGTTGCATGTGGTTGTAATGTGTATGTGTGCGTGAAGTGCTTACATTTTACAATAGTTTGAATTCCTAACATTACTTCCGAGTACTTCAGCCTACTACCGCGGCGCGGACCTGTGTGTGTGTATGCGCGATTTCAAAAACATTGCGTATTTTGTATCCAGTATATTGAAGAATGGAAATTATGTCGTTTGCATTAACGTTTTTATACGTCAATGGTCGCTTGTGCTTCAATATAAATATATTAGAATCTGCCAAGGGAAGCGGGCAGGAATCGTGTTCTAAGGAGGCTTCGCCACTGACGGCTACGTAGTGGTATACCAAAATGGTTTCATGGCCGTTTATCGAAAGGTATGGTGGGAGTACTACACAAGGTGTAAGGTTGCCCCCCTTATGTTATTCTGCCGCAGGATAAACTAAACAGGATGCCAACTATATAGAACAACAAGAAGATAAAAATCCTAGTAGTGTAGTAATAATGGAAGTAGATAATGTAACTACTGGAATAAGACGAGTTTACGTCTCTTCGTCCACACCTGCAGCTTCACGTTCGAATTCAAAGTGATTGAACTGGTGCCGCCTAGTCATAACCAGCGGTCGGCGAGCCGTAAGTGCGGCATCGCCTAGCCGTAGCCGAAACGATTTACTGGAGCTGCATATTCGCTTCCGTTATATGCTTGCTTATGTTAAGTGGACGCGCGTTAGACGGCCAGCCAAAAGGCGAGTCTATATTGATCCGCTTCCAACTTGATATTTGTGTGTTGTGATGTGACCTCTATACACCACTTACACTTATCAGTTGTGGAGGGGTTATTTTCAGCACACCCTATAAACCCTGAAGCTGGGAAAATAGCAAATAGTTCTAGTATATTCTACGCGCGGGATGTCTACATTGCCGTAAAATCACATCGCCGTAAAGGTCACTCAACCCCTTGAGTGACCTTTACGAAGTCTACAATTTGGACCCCATGCATTGAAAACTAAGTCAGGTCTCCAGTGGGTGCTTTGCCCTAAACAATCAACAAAAACAGATCAACATTCAACAAAATATTCTACACAAAACTATTTCATTACACATATTTGTTTGCATCAACAAAGTTTGCTTTCCAAGCCCGATAGAAAACACATACACAAACCACACCCGCGCAGGTCGAGAGGCCTGGGTATTGTTTCATCTGTAATTTTTTTTATATACTCTTTAGGGGGATGCATTCCAAACCTACACTCTTTTCACTCTTGATGTTTGAATTTTGACATAATAACGTATGAAACCATTGTCAAATTTATGAAATTCAAGTTGCACCTGGATCATAGTTTTGGAATGCAGCTCTGTGTATTTTGTGTATGACAGCCAGGTGAGCAGTGGACGAAGTGTGTAGAGAAACATGTATCAGAAACAAAGTTTTGTGGAAGGTTTTTAAAGAACTTTTGCTGGAAAAACCTGGCTTAACCATTGAGGAGTCACCTGAGGAGTATAGTCTCCTACGCTCATATAGCTGATGAATAAGTATAATATAAAATCAATACACTGCACGAAATAATTAGAAGTTCTTATATTTATAACTTTGGAATGATAATAATTTAATAATCAACACTTACATTCTATTAAGCTCAGATTTAGCATTATACTAAAGTAAACTACTAGATATCAACTATCAAGAAACTTCTCCAAATCCGTTTGATCTTCATCCAATTGCACTTGTTCTAAAGTTGTTTTTGGTGAAGAAGTACCTGAAATACAAATAAAAGCGGATTGATCAAATGCATATAGTATATCTTCATCACATATGCCTTTAATTAAAAGTTTAGTTATAAATATTTAAGAAAAACAAAAGCGACAAAAATAGTTATACTACAACAATAACAACAAAGTTGCTAGATGTTAAACTATTTATACACATAACCTCCACCCCCGACAAAGAGTCAGTTCAGAATACAGATTTAAATATTAAAGTTACATAGATAGTGCAAGTCACCAAGCATGAAACTTTGACAGATCTGCAATTGCATCCATTGTCAGTTTCCAAGAAAAATAAGCAACACTCCTACAAGAGGTAAGAACAAACTGGATACTTCCATTAAAAAAAATATGTTGACAATGTGATTACAGAGCTGTCAAAGTTCGTGCTTAGACCTCTGGAATAGTGCCACAGAACAAAAAAAAATAATTCATTGGCTCTTATATTTCCTTAAATTTGTCCATTACATCCATACCCGTCTTTCCCAGTGGGCACTTTGGGCAAGTGCCCAGAGCCCCGCGATCTATAGGGGGCCCCCTCAAATCAAATACAAAGTCAGTAGTTCCTGTTAAATCACCAAACGGAACTCATTATCCTAATATGCCCAGGGCCTCCAATAGGTCAAAGACGGCACTGATTACATCTTAGTTATATTTACCTAAAGGTACACTTCCACTGGTCAAGAACTTAGCCATATCATGCTGGAACGCCAGTGAACTGTTATCTCTCCTCACATGCAACTCTGCCAAATGCTGTTTTTCCTTTTCATAACTTTGTTCTGTGTTCTTCTTAACTAGTTCACTTCTTATATTTTCCAATGCAGCTGAAAATCAGAAAGTGTTGTATTTTATTAACAAATGAAGTTACGTCTTAGTTTTTGCAACTATATACCAAAATACAAAATATAAATCTGTGTGATAGGTTTATTTTTATTAATGTATATCCATGAGTGGTGTCATTCATGAAGAATTATCATAGCCAGAGGTTAATACACACCCATTTTTTTCTCTTTGTACAAAGTCAGCTGATATTGATGATCCAATTTCCAACTTTCCATCTTACTTCTCTCAATAATATCTTCAAATTGCACTAAATCGTCTTCTACGGTTTTCAACAACGTCTGCACGTTTTTTAGACTGTCCATACATTGTGCCACCGTAGCAGTCAAACTTGGTAAATGAGATAAACATTGGCTCAATTCATTTGCAGATTGCAGTTTGGCTTTTGTAGTATTGTGTAGTTCTAATATTAATCTGTCAACTTCATCGGCAGCCCTAGCATTTTTATCGGCATTTTCATGTAGTTCTCTCCAATCTTCTTGATATTTCTCCAGTAAAGCACCACCAGCTCCATAATTTACGTGATCTTCGCTCGGCACCTTTTGCTTGTCCTTAAAAATGTTTTTTATTTTTTGCACTTCTTGTAGTGTTTGTCTTATATTGCTGTTAGAAGCGAGACCATCTTGTACTACAGAAATAAATTCTTTTAAGTTTCCTAACATTTCACAAAGATTCAAAATCAAATCAAAACAGGACACTAAGTCACTAACACATGCTCCACAAAATGATAAACAATACAGTTTTTTTTTTGTTGCAGTTCTCCCGTTTTAGGGAAGGCAAAGGGAACAATGCCCATACAGCCTGGTCTTTAATAAAATTAATCTTCTTTTGTTTTTACACTAGAACGTCAGTGTGACGCATTCTAATGTTTCTTGGAGTGTTTGGCACGACATGTATCGAGTTGGCTTTTTCGATAAGCTTCTGTGAGGTAGTCAACCCTATAATAAAATTCTCACGTCCACTTGACCGGAATAGCGTATATTTTAACGATTCCACTAATTCTTCAGTTACGCAGACGGTTGTTACACAAAACCACACCAATTTTATTTCACAATATCCACTATGAACGAATTTAAGAATAATTAAAATAAGACGCCAAGCGCACTCGATTAAATCCCGCCAAAAAAAAAAAAATACAGACAGGATCAGTGCAGTGTGACCAGATTAAATTTTACGAAAATACCGAGGCACCTCAAAAAAATACTGAAATATACCGACTTACATAGGACAGATATACCAATAAAAATACTGATTTTCTTAACACGTTTTATTTATTCATACGTACTCACAATAAATGTTAGAGTTATATTTTAACATCCTTTTCGAAGGATTAAAATTTACACAACCTCCTTCATTTCTTCACGCTCTATCTAATAGTGCAAACCGCATTAAAATCGGTTCAGCAGTTGTAAAGTTTTAGGCGAACATACATTCTGCAAGTCTGATTAATACTACGTATTAATTGATAATTGTATATGTAGTATTACAATACTACAACGCCGACAACGGCCGTCTTTCTTGTCATATCTGTAACTTACTCATAGATAACATGTATAAGTATAGGTAAACTAAATCCGGGGAAGTCCCCAATTTTCACGTTCCGGGGAATTCCGCAAACATTGTCGCAAAGACGATCATTCACTACGGTGTTGCCATAACTTCTACCAAAATATACCCGAAAATACTGACTGCCAGCAATATACCTGAAAATATACTGATGTTCGGAAAAATCGATGAAATATACTGAAAAAGTATTAAAATACTGAATCTGGTCACACTGGATCAGTGTTGCCAGTCGGGTCATGTCAGAAATTACCTGAAATATATAAAAAAGTAACCTTTTTGTATAAAAAATAACCTTTCATATTTTTGAAGTTATACTTCTTTAGGCGCGTTATGAAAAAATGATGAGAGTGAAATTTTAAGATGCGCGCGCATCACTGTAACACAAAATTCTAACAGCATGAAGTTGGTCGCTTTAGCGACCAACTTCATGCGTTACTTTTGTGTTTACCGCACATTAAGAAAATCTACCAACAAAATAGAAATAGAATCTCTATTTAGTGGGTGCTAACGACTGCATTGTGAAGGCCTATCAAAAGTATTTATTAATCTGGAACAACGGAACCAAAGCGCGATTCAGGAGACTACAGCGCCATCTCTTGACCATTTGTGTAGTAGAACCAAAAACCACATCTTTATTTTTCGTAATAAAGTAACAGTTATAGGTATTCATATTTATAATATTTATCCACATGTTTCTAGTTTGTATATTCGGAATACGTGTTTGAGTTTCATACAAGTGCAAATCACATATGTTCTAATAAATTATATTCAGTAGCGATTTTAATTGAATATTTTGATTATTTATTTATTTTTTCAAATTAAAACTGAACTTTATTGACTGTGTCCTTTTCCAGACTTTTTATTGTAATTAATTATTTGCATGCAATTAAAAACTAATTTTAAACGATGCCAAAGAAGGATAACTTCTCACGCGCCTACATAAGTACACGCACCCATTTTTTTACTGAAAAGGTATTATAAGTTGGTAGAATAGAATATTAGTTGTATTGACTTACAGAAACATCGATGAGTATTTGAGCACTTACTCAACTCTGATTATTATTTATTAATACTCTTATAAATGAATTAAGTATTAGGCTAATTTGGTCTGCAATCGCAATGCTCTGCATATACATACATATACTCAACCGCGCATCAACGGCACACTGGTGACATCACTACGTGGCTTAAAGAATTATTTTGGGTAATTATCCGGTAAATTACCAGCTATACATTGGTAAAAATAAGTAAAATATATATTTTACCGGTAAATTCGCATCACTACATTCGATTCACTTTTGCTTTTTGTTCAATATATGGTTGGAAAGAGCCAACTAGAAGAAAAAAAATAACTGCCCTAGTTATTGGCAAAGTGCTCATACCCCTATGATTGTTCATAAAGGTCTATAGTTTTAGTCTGTCTGTCTGTTTTAGCCTATAAGTAACCTTTTCATTAGAGTAACCTAAAAGTAACCAATGCAGTTCAAAAATCACCTATAAGGTTACAATTACAAAAGTAACCTTCTGGCAAGACTGGACAGGATAGCAGAGTACAGAAATAGGGATGTAAACGATAAAAAGATATTTCAAAAGTTCGATATTTATCAATGATTTGTAATTGCAAACCAATCCATAGGTGGCGTTGTCAATTCTAATCAAAGATTGTCAATATTTAAAGATATTCATTATACTCTCATATGATTTAAAACAAAGTCAAATACATACATAGTCAGCAAAGGTGGGCTTATCTCTAAGAAATATCTCTTGCAGCCAACCTAGATGGTGTCGGAGATTCCAAACTTAGCGGGAAACAGAAGTGCAATAAAAATTAAACTAAAAATAATTTATTACTCCTATAGTTATATATATGTGTATATATATATATATATATATATATACATATATATATACACAGGGGTCCGTGTTTGACATGATAACGTCATAGAGTTCTATTCTACTGTTATAATCTCGTTTATTCTATGTTAATCATCTTTTGTCTACATTCATTGTCCTTATCTTTAAAATTAAATACGATCTTTTTGATGTCAACTACAATTATTGATTTTCAATATAAACTGTAAAGTTTTATTGGCGATTAGATGGACGCAGAACAATTTGCACATTTTATTAATGTACAACAAGAAAAAATAACCAAAATATTGAACTTTTTGGTTTCACCAACGACTGGAACGTCTACATCGACACCTAGTCATGGGGAAACATCACCCATTACCGGTAGCATGACGAATGCGGCTACACAACGAGCGCCGAACAAGATGGGCATTTAAAAAATAATAATATTGATCAATCCTGATACACACAGAGTGGAGGATTAGATAGATTTTTGTTGAAACGAAGTACCAAAAACATGAAATCTATGACGATGAACTCAAACGAGACCTACTGTTGAACTGTTTTACACCGGATGTATTCAGAGAGGTTAAGCTAATTATTCTTTGATTATTTTATTGACCAACTATCGATACTTTCAGATAGTTGTCCAATACTACTGTCAATGCCAAGAAGCTGTCAGTGTCATTTGATTCATAGATTCTAAATAGAAAAAAAATCCAAAGTCAGAGTTTAAAGGTCAAAGTTACCAAGCCATTATCTGCAAAAAAAATATAGATAAATGATTGGTATTGCTTTGTCGAGTGAAGCGAGACCAATCATTCATCTATGAAAAAACACTACGTAATGTGTTTCTTCTTTTATCTATGGTTTCTTCATCGTCTCATGTAGACCACGGATTTCGCTACCCCTAGTCTTTTCAAATTAATTTCACTTGCATATTTACATTTTTTATAGGCTTCACAGGATTGGAATCATTAAAAATTGTTATCAAGTGGATGAACAATGATTACTTTTGAAAATGCGTAAGACCTGCATTCGTATATTTATACTAGCTGACCCAGCGAGCTTCGTACCGCCATTAAAAAATAGGGGTTGGTGGTAGAAGAGTGAAAATTTGGGGTTGTATGTATTTTTATATGATGTATCGTAAAAAAAATAATATCTAAATTTGCAAAAAAATTTAGGTGTGGATTACCCTTAACATTTAGGGGGATGAAAAATAGATGTTGTCCGATTCTCAGACCTACCCAATATGCAAACAAAATTTCATGAGAATCGGGAAAGCCGTTTCGGAGGAGTTTAGCCACAAACACCGCGACACGAGAATTTTATATATTAGACTAGCGGCCCGTCCCGGTTTCACACGGGTGTATTAAATACTATGTAAATATAATGAATCAGCATTTATATCTAGAATACAAAGAAAAATTAACAACAAATAAACAAAAGGAAACAGTGGAAGAGCTTTTCACTATATAACGAAAAAACAATTTTACGAAACCTACACAAACAAATTTGAAGGACGTAAATTCAATGAAAGAAAATTCAGTTCCACACGCATCGCTTAGGGAACCTCGGTTTTCATTCTAAGGCATTCAATTTTCGATTTTTTTAAATTTTCGAATACTGGTTACGTCACGTTCTATTGTGTCTTGCGTGTCTTGCGCTTGTTCTTTTTTTTTAATATTGTATTGGTTCTGAAATGAGAAAGTCTGAAGCCACTTTTTTATAATTATTTATATAGGTATGGAGCATTACAATGTCTCCATCCGTATATTGAATATCTATAGAAATACCTACTATATAGCTGTCCCAGCGAACTTCGTACCGGAACAAAAAGGGTAAAGTAGAAGGGTGAAAATTTAGAGTTGTATGTATTTTTGTATGATGATGGTCCAAAAAAAAATTGTTTAAGTGTGAACCACCCTCAACATTTAGGGGGATGAAAAATAGATGGTGTCCGATTCTCAGACCTACTGAATATGCATATAAAATTTTACGAAAATCGGTCGAGCCGTTTCGGCTAATAGTTAAAACTGTCTTTATCAGTTATTAATAAAATGTGAAAAAATAATTATTGCACTGGAGATTAATAATAAATTCACGATGAGAGTAAAATTAACGTAATAGATGCACAGAAAAATTAAAATAATACGTATAAGTCACTGCTACGATCGATACACAAATGAAACCAAAAAAAATCTTCTTCTCATCCCTACTCCGTGATTTTTGCTGGATGAGAGGTGACCCAGGTAGACATCTAGCGGGGATAACTGATCGATTGATCGTTGATTGGTTATCAACCGGTGAAGGCGGAAGATCAAATTGAATTGAGAAAAAAAATATTAAAAATAAAAATCGCGATGGTAAAATAGGGGTTGATTGTAAAGGGTTGAAAATTCAGGGTTATATGTATTTACTAATGCTGCTAAATATATCTAAATTTAAAAAAAAAATATAGGGGTGGATTACCCTTAACATTTAGGGGGATGAAAAATAGATTACATCCGATTCTCAGACCTACTGATATGCATATAAAATTTCACGAAAATCGGTCGAGCCGTTTCGGAGGAGTTTAACCACAAACACCGCGACACGAGAATTTTATATATTAGATGTAATTAAAAACCCTACACCTAAATACACAACGAGCGCTCAAAATGTATCCCAGTCAAGAAGTGCTTGAATACGACTCAAGCACTTCTTGGTTCACAGTCACGCGAGGACCGTTAAAAAGTCAACATGCCGCTGAGCTCAATGTTTGTTAATTTAACGCATTTGATTTTTTTTTAATACTATAAAGTAATTTAATAGAAATATTTGTGATATTCAAATGCATGGTTGGTTATAAAGCCGTCTTTTTTCCTCACACTCCGTAACAACAACAACAACCGTGCTTTTGGTTAACAGCACATTCAAAATTATTACGCGTAGAGTCAAAGAAATAAAGTCTATATTCTTCCGTCTACAATAACAAGTTGTAAAATTTTACGAGCTTGCATTTTAAACAGCCGTTTCTGTTTCACGCATACGTTTAAATTAAGACCACGATACGATTAATTTATTTATATTTCGCATTAAAGGTGACTTTGAATGTTTAAATAATGACATATATTGATTTTCACTACGTGATCATTACAGGGCTCCGTGCACCAACGTCCAATGTACCTTTTGGACAGGTTTCGTCCGAGATTTTGTTCAGATTGTTGTATCTAGGGAATTAAATATCGTTGGTAAAAAGGCAGAAAAAAGAACAATAAAGACTAGATTGTATGATTTTCATATCCTTTGCTTTCCTGTAAGGATAGAATATGACTTGGTTTAACATAATTTACTCTTTTTTGATTAATACATTGAAAAAACCATCCCTGTGGGTTTTTAGCGGGAATTCATCGAGTGCGGTTGGCGTCTTATTTTAATTAATATTAAACTTGTTGATAGTGGATATTGTGAAATAAATTTGGTGTGATTTTGTGTTACAACCGTCTGCGCAACTGAAGAATTAGTGGAATCTTTAAAATTCCGGTCAAGTGGACGTGAGAACTTTATTGTAGTGTTGATTCAGAAGCTTATCGGAACAACCAACTCCATATATTTCGTGCCAAATACTCCAAGTAACATTATAATGAGTCACACCAACATTCTAATGTATAAAAAGAAGATTAAAATAACTTAAGACTTGGCTGTATGGGCATTGTTTCTTTTGCCTTCCCTGAAAAGGGAGAATCTTAAATAAAAAAAATATCCCAGTTTAACTGTCAAAAAATTCGAATTCGGTATTTTGTTTATCGTGTAAATACAGCGATTTTTCAAGTAGAAAATGTCTGAAAGTAAACTGAGCAGCGATGAAGTGCCGATTAAATTTACAGAGTGGCTTCTGGCTATTGGTTGTTCACCAGAAAAAGTCCCCACAGTAGACAAAGTTGCACAGTACGTAAAATTGTTCAACCTTGTACTTTATTTATAATCTAATAATTACATTCTATTAATTATTCCATTTTTTGTAGAATGTGTAGGGGTCAGTATTATATGGTTTGGCGCAGTTTAATAGAACATGTAGAACCCAAGGATATTATAAGACAGAAAAGGTTACAGGTGTTCTGTGATGATGTGCGCAAATGGAAAAGAAAAAATACGTTTAGGGTATGTGGCTTTGATTATAATAATTATTATACACGCCTGGATGCCGTATTAACTGCATGGAAGCGCCTCAAATATCTACTATATATGGAAGATAAGCTTGTCGTTAGAGTTCTAAAATAGTTTGTATTGCTTGGGTACTTATGATATTTATGAACTAATCTTTTGTTTCTAGTATCAAAAACATTCTGATGCTGTGATACCAGATGAAATAGCTCTTTGGCAACAACATCACGACATCAAGGAAAAGGTTGCCAATGTAGAAGCAAGGATAGATGAAAGGCAGAAGAATTTGAATCAATTGATGGATAAAATATCCACAAAATGTAAGTGTAAATAAATTAGGTAAAAACTATGACTCATGTAGCTCAGTGCATATAATAAGATTGATAAAGGATAGGTTACAAATTATTTAACTATGAACAACATCTGGATTTTGTATCTATTGAGAAGCTTGATGGGGCAGTTGCTTTAGCCTGTGATCATTGAAGTCAGCAACTTTTGTAGTGGTCGGTTACCAAAGACTTACTATGGAACTCCTCTATGCTTCAAAAATTGACGTTAAGCCATTGGATTTGGCTGCATCTGAAGTCGTTAGTGTGGTTCATAGCCCAATCTCTCTATTCTATATATAAGTAAGGCCTGTGCTCTAGCAGTGGGGACATTAATAGGCTGATGATGATGATGATATTGACGGTTCATTAAACATGCACAGTGACCTATATTATGTCAAGAAAATGACGAGGAATCCGTGGCCTTTATTTATTACAAAAATAAAGTCACACCGCCGGCGCGGCGAATTGTTTGAGTTGACGTTAATAAACTGCTACAGACTAAAAATATGACAGTACTTTTGACAGGGTGACAAGCATCCTTAGCAAATTGTTCAATTTCGAAACACAATATAAAATTTATTCGAGATAAATAAAAAAAATATATAAATATCTGTTCATGTTATTACATAAAACTTTCAAATGATATATGTTTTATTGCTGCTGGAAACCAGCTACCGCTTTTGAACGGTCTCCTTTATTTTACCATTACTTTGTAATGTTTTCTCATTCTAAAGATTGATGACTTCAAGTCTTTTTGTCTTAGTGTCCCACCGCAATCTTTCACGGCAACGTGTGCAGGATATACAAAGGCGAGTTTGGCTGTTGCAGCAGGTCACCGAAGAATTGGATGCAAAAAAGCAGAATCTAGAAGAGACTAGGACTATTGCAAATTCTCTATGTCTGGCAGAGGAGGACATTGATGTTCATGTAAGTTAGTGTAAGATTGAATCCCAAAAAAATACTCTAACAAAGTGTTAACCACAATTTTAACCCACCCAATTTCTCTACTTAAATTAATTCAAATCATAAAAAAATCTTATTTATAATTGTCACCTTTGCTCATAAGTCTCACAGGATGGTGGGTGAGTTACGGCCTATTCTTCCAATATCTTTCTCTTCACTTATAATTGGTCGTCGATAAATCAATTTTTCACAAAAATCCAAGGGATTTTGCATATAATTAGACAATGGCAATACTGTTTCTCAATCTTACTGAAAAATATACGATTTCTGCGAAAACGTTATTCGCCTCAGTGATAATGCGAAAAAATATAGTTTTTGGCTTCATGGATTCATCTTAGTTAGGCTAGGTTATTGCGGTGACCATGCCGGAAATAAATTCGTTATCAGTAAGGTTGAGCAATGTCACTGTCTAATTATCGGCGTCTTCGCAAAAATCATCCTACGACATATACTTCATCAATAGGTTGATTCCAATGACGCATAATATAACTAATTTTAAATGTCATAGGTTGATTCAAAGCTATTTTGTCACTTTGTCCTCCGTACCGGATACATTTCAGAGCAAACTGGATAAGTACATATCTTCGTTGCGCCTGTCGCCGGCTCCAATGCTTACTGCGAATCCAGCAGCAAGCTCCACCGTTGTGTCTACCTTTGGAGATATTAGTTACTCTGGTAAGACAACCATGTATTCGTACTAATATGTCATACTGTAAGCTCAATGGCGCAAGTGGTTAGCGCGTTCGGCTGCGATCGTTGAAGTTAAGCAACTTTCGCAGTGGTCGGTCAATAGATGGGTGACCAAAAATTTACTATCTCGAGCTCCTCTGTGCTTCGGAAGGCACGTTTAGCCATCGGTTCCGGCTGCATCTGCAGTCGTTAGCACCCACCAATCCGCACTGGGCCCGCGTGGTGGGTCATGGCCCAATCTCCCTATTCCAACCATAGGGAGGCCTGTGCCCCAGCAGTGGGGACATTAAAATCCTGATGATGATGATGATATCATACTGTTACGTAATTAGATTAGTTCGCCGAGCAAAAATGTGCTTACATTTCTGAAAAGCAAGAATATTAAGAGTGCGCCGTTCTATCAATAAATAAGTTTTTATTAATCCTTCGGGTTAGTTAGAAGGGATTTAAGTCAGGGATTTGCACACACACTTCTACTGCGTCAGTTATTTATGTTAAGTGCCATAAAAATATTTTCGTTAAATGTTAGGGCGTGCGCACCGTATAAGTATTCTCATGTTTCAAATATACATATGTATTCTATCATCCCATAACACAAGCGTTACAGTGCTTACTTTGGGGCTAGGCTTATTGGTTTGAATTGATCTAAGGTCTTGGTCTGAAATTTTCTTTAAGTATACACGCTCGGAAATCTTTTTTATTATTTAGTATCGTCATTGAGCTGTATAAAATAACTTGGTGTTAATAGAAGAACATCAGTCGTGGCTCACGAAATGTCGTGGCGACGCGCTCTGGACGCAACTGTACGAGCGGCGTGCGGGACTCATAGCGATGCTCACAAACGAAGCCCTTGTACACAAACCTCATAATGATGGGTGAGTACTTAGCTTTTAAGGCATCTGCTGAACGATATTAAAAACCCTAGATACATCACGAGTGCTCAAAGCACTTCTTGGTTCACAGTCACGATTGGACCGTTGAAAAGTCAACATGCCGCAGAGTTCCGTGAAAAAATGCGATCTGATAATTGCTAACAGCGCTTTCAGAATTCCGATATATGGTCTATATTCTTTCGCTAATAGTGACAAGTCGTAAAAAAATTATAAGCTTGCATTTCGAACTGTCACACGCGACAGCTACGAACGCCGCCCCGAGAAGCTAGAAGCGGCTACAAAGGTAGCTGAAGCACGCAACAGCCACTTGTGGCCCGTGGTCGACACTTGTCGGCGATGGTTGCTACTTTTTTTAACACATGCGTGCAGTATCATTACGGACTCTGACGAAGAAGGTTTGAAGGTGGGGAATGGCGTGTGGCGGCGTTATGTGTCGGTGCATTAGTAGCCGGTGCCGGCCACAAGAAGCGAGCAACGACGATTTGTAGTGTGTGGCGGCCACCATATAAAATGTATGAAAACTACAGGAAATATTCCGGTGGCGGCGTTTCGTAGTTGTGGCCCGTGGCCCGTGGCCCGTGTGCGGCGACACTTAATGTTTGACGACACTATTTTACTCGAAAATGCTATTTTCGTTCGTACTTATAGTTCCCATCAGGGTTCATAATCGTAATAAATGGATGAACCCAAACTCTTCTTTACTTCTATATCTATTTAAGAATAACAGCAGTGTAAAAATCTTTTTGCGATCCTTGTCACTATTACTAAAACACGTTCAATACGGCTGATTACCGTTGAAGGTATGGTGGGTCACCTTAACCACAGCTTTGCCACACGAAATCGTATCGCAAGAATTCGTTTTGTTGTGTATGTTTTGTGTGAGAGCCCTTATAGCGCAATAGTATGCCATTGTCTGAACGCACTTCTATGTTTGAAGTAGTTTACTTTAACCTTTACTTATCGATTGTGAAACAGGCCTAAAAAATATTTCGTTATGTGGCGGCTAACTTCTTGAGCAAAAGCACAAACAAGTAAACTTGCGCTTTTTGTCTTTTTGTATGAATAATTGCAACTGCGAAGGCTTCCTTGTCTTTGGTCGTTTCAGAAGTTTGCCGGAATGTCTAAATCTATAACGCTAGTTGATTGGCAGATCGAACCCGGAGCGTGTTTTGTCTCACACGGCCAGTATGCACGGCTCACTCGCGCTGGAAGCCATGAAGAGTCGAGCACACATTAGGCAGACGAGGAAGAGATTAGCCATAGCTGTGTCGGAGTTAAATGTAAGTTATTTATTTATTTATTTTAAACTTACTTGACCAAAATAAAAGAGAATGGTACAAAAGGCGGACTTAATGCTAATAGCATTCTCTTCCAGTCAACCTTTGGGAGAAAAGAAAAACGCGAACGGCGGTATAAAGCTAAATATATACATAAATATTGATATAATAAATAATAATAAAAATATGTATATACGAATTAACATAGATACTTAAATAAATACATATTATGAAAGGAATACACATACATACATACCACACTTATATTTAAATATATATGTACACATAACTATGCACATGATGATGATTAATAAAGTGACATCATGAGAAGTTGATGTTGATCATGACATGACAAGTTATCATCGTCATCAGATAGTCGGAGCGTGTTTTGTCACACACGGCCATTACCTTATTTCACCAAGTCAACAACATAATGTAAGCCGACGGTGTATTGTGGGTTGATTTATTATATCTAATTTTTCTTTGAACGCAAAATCATATTTTATTCGTTCTTTATAAGTTCTCCTGTATGTGTCCTGTGTGTGTGTGTGTGTGTGTGTGTGCGTGCGTACGTGCGTGCGTGCGTGCGTGCGTGCGTGCGTGCGTATACATGTACAGTATATGTATTCTATCCCTTACCCTAGTACCCCATAACACAAGCCATACAGTGCTTACTTTGGGGCTAGGCTAATTGGTGTGTGTCGGAATTTTTCTTTTTTGATAGCATAATCTTTGCTTGACTTCTTAACTTTTTTTACGTAGCTCGGTAATTCCATGTTTGTTGTATGCAAGGCCGTAAATTGATCATATGTGTAGCGGATACAAGGCTGCAATGCCTTAAACGAGAATGTCTATCGCTGTCGGCAGCCGACAGGCTACTGGTTGATTGGTCGAGCGCCCCCTCCCGCGTTCCGCAGACCATGGGAGGGGCGGATTTACAGCGGTCAAGCTATATATATATGTGTGCCAGATTTCAGCGCAATCCGGTCCCGCCCCCCACGACAACGGCTAACTAGAGTCGAGGTTCGAGTCTCAGAGGCGCTCTCTAGTTGAGTCGACCCGCTCAGGTTCGAGTGGTCTAGAGGCTCCAGACGGAGAGGAGACTCCTCCCATGGGGAGATGCCATCCGCCTGGAATACCTTTAGAGGCACTTGCCAATTATCGGCTTGAGGTCCCCTTAGGATCTCGCCATCCCCAAATCATCATCCTGTAAAGGTCCTTTGCGACTAACAGCATACACATTAAAAAAAAGCGTAATCCATTCAGTTGTTTGTGCTGTGCGTTGATAGATCAGTAATAACGTTTTTCTTTAAATCTACATAAGTCTAATATTTAAATTTTCATCAACAGAACTATCTTACCGGCGAAGCTTGTGAACTACTAGTTCTCCAATGCGAACGAACCCGGGCTGCGGCGCGAGTCAACACTTTACGTAATCTACTGGCGGATTTGACGTCGCGTACGGGAATATTCGACGCAAGTGCACAAGAAAACGCCATAGACAACGGACACTCTACTGTCAGGCAGATAGCGGCCATAGACAAGTCTATTGTGAGTATTAGGGAAATTTTAAATATCCTTACCAGAGACCCTATCGGGATTGCTCTGGTTATGCTTTTTTTTTGTTATTTTTGACCACCGACGGTTTTCAAATGCAACGCGCTTTTTTCTTTTTCTTTTGCATTGATAATAACAATATTAAAGAAAATAAGCATGAGGTATTTGAAAACCTATAACAAAATGAAATCAGAAGCTCGCACATACGACCGCTTACGGACCGACACATTGGCTGTGTATTAACCTAATTGAAAATAAGATCTCTCTCCTGTAGCGAGGCTATATTTACCGGGACGGATTTTACGCGCTGACCCGTTATCAATAGTATTGTTAATCGAAGCTTTATGCACAAACTTACTTAGTTAAAATTCCGGATAAATGAAAGCCAGGCAAATACTGGACAAATGTCTCGTCTTAACAGACTATTTTCTTATCATTTTTCATACAACCGATATTGATTCAACCTTACATTCTGCTTTTTCTCTATTAGGAATGGATTACAATTTGTTCTTTGATTATAATTGAAATAGCTCCTTTGTTTATATATCTAGGAAAGCAAGAAAAAGGACTTGCAAAAGCTCTTAACATCTTTGGCGACGACTGAAAAGAAGATACAGAACGTACGCGAGTGTCTCACTGCCATTTTCAACGGCTTCCACAAGGAATCTTTGCCCTTTCAGCATGATATATCAAGAGGTTAGTTGTGTTATGCAATAACTGTGTATATTTTTTTTTATTGTATTTGTTAGGATTCCGTATCTTAAAAGGAAAGAACCTACCTTATGGGATGACTTTAAGACCCTTTATCTCGGAAACGCGTGGAGGTATCGAGTTGAAAGGGCATTGCCCACTTTGTAAGGGAATTTGGCTTAATATTAACAGACATTTTAACAAGTGGAACTTCACAATACAAGAAGCTTGAACTATCCAAAACCTTTGAAGTATTATAATTTTGTATCAGTATACTTTGAAACAAATGCCATTTTCGCAACGATCAATACGATGCCTACAGACACTGCGAAGATACATTCCCTGTTACACAATTCAATTTAATTGAATTATCGGTTTAATAATAAACATTTATTCTTTAAATATGCCACGAAAAATTAATTTTGTGCAATATGGCGTGCGACGTCACATGCAAATTATCAAATCTATATACGCAAAAACGTAGTTCTTTTGACAGCTTGGGTGCGTTCCAAGTGCAACTTTTCACTCTGACGTTTAAATTTTGACATACATATATGCAACTTCTATCGAATATGACATTTGTTGCTTTTTGAATTCTAATTTGACAACTGGAGCGTAGGCTTGGAACGCAGCCCATGTCTGCAAATGTTATCTTAGACCCGGCCAATCCTAGCCGTTTTCGCTGACATGAGGTGATGCTAACTTAAATGTTAGAAATATTTACTTATTACGATAGGATTAAATTTTACGCTAGTACTTCACTTGGCTATTCGTATCTGCTATTTATCATTCTGACAGCAGATTGTCCTTTATCTATATAGGGAGAGACGGTTGTCAAGCTTATAAAAAGCAAATACGAATGACCATATGAAGTGCCGGCATCAATTATGTCAAATGAAAAATGAATGTGCAAGATAATGGTGTCCATTCTGGCACGATTCTCTAAATTTAAGATCAGTCTATCCTCTACTCTGTATTTCATCATCATCATCATCATCAGTCTATTAATGTCCCCACTGCTGGGGACAGGCCTTCCCTGTGGATGGAATAATGAGATTGGGACATGACCCACCACGCGGGCCCAGTGCGGATTGGCGGGTGCTAATGCAGCAGGGCTCAACGGCTTAACGTGCATTCCAAAGCACCGAGGAACACGACATAAAAGATTTTTGGTCATCCATCCAATGTCCGACCACTGCGAAAGTTGCTTAACTTCAACGATCGCAGCCGAACCCGCTAATTGCCTATGCCATCGAGCTCCTCACTCTCTGTATTTATTCATTATTTATTAGGACCACCCGAGAAAGTTTCACCACACGGCCCATAAGGGCCGCGCGGGAAAAAACATTGCACGGTCAAACACCGCACGGCCCATATGGGCCGCGCTCCCCACGGGACTATAAGCCATTTTTTGTGAAGGTTAGAGGCTACTTTTGTATGAAGAAGTTTTACCATAGATTAACTTGGCGAAATGACCTATCTTTAGAGCCGTAAAGTTTTCACCTACTCTGTGTAGTTTTTTTTTTTTGCGTCGTTGAAAAAGTGGAATTTTTTTGGTCGAATTGAGGTTACGTGTATGTAATTTATCTTTTTTTTCATGGTAAATGCTTAATTTTATAGGGAAAGTGTTATAAAGTGTGTTGTTCTGCTTACAATATACCTTTATAGATAATTGGTTGTATAAAATACTTCTTAATAAAAATGATTTTCATGTTCAATACTGACAAAATTTCTTAGGTTGTTTCAAAGTTATTTGTGATGATTGAGTTTCGGTAATATAAATAAGTGTTTACAATAAGCAATTGAAACTCGTTTACAGTTAGTTTTTACATCGCTGATAACAAATTATTGTTAGAAACTCCTCATAAAGATAAGGGAATTTCTGTGTATAAAGATCAAAAATGGGGTATCGTCTGTCAATTCCTAGCAAGCCATTTTGACTCTTATATGTACGGCGTCACGGGCGTAACCTACTTGCAGTCGATTTGAACCTCTTTTCGTAGGCGTATTGATAGGTACGTATCGATAGTCACGAGATAAAAATAATGAATTGTCGATAGATCGACTAAAATTGTGGTGGTGGCATTGTAGGGCGAGTTTATGTTTAGCTAATTTATTGTTACTGTTTTAGAATGGTAGTTTTACATATAACAAAATAAAATAAATTCATGCAGTAAATATGGTGATAATGGCTTAGTAAATATAGTGGTTTTCTTTTTTTTGGATTTTATAGTATGTCTTCGTGGCGCTAAGACCAGGACCCAACCGCCGATTTTTTATTCCTGCTCTATAAAGATAAAGAGGGTGAGGAGCAGCAAATGAGTGATGCAGCAGAAGATACTTTCAATTTAGCAATATATTCAAAGTTCGTTTGAGTATTGTATCAATAAAAAGAACTCAAGAATGAGAGAACAAACTTTATTATTTCTATTGATATCTACGGTTTCGGGTTTATTACCAATAAAAAAAACCTAAAGTACGTGAAGTCAATTTTTTTCCACTGTGTATGGTAGTTTTATTTTTAGCTATATTTATCCATATCCTTGTTGATAATAGGAATAATTACACTGTAAATAAAAATCAATTAAAAACAGTACCAAATGTGTTTTTATTTATAAATAACAGAACAAATATCGATAAAACTATAAAAGTGAAGGCACGGCAAGATACATCCCTACTTTGTTTTTTGTTCGTTGGGTCGGGTCGGACTCTGGTTTCAAGTGCTGTTTTTGTTATCAACAATGGGGTCTTTCATTAGTTTGTTTACATAAGTGGGCAGTTTAGATATATGATTCTCGGCATCCGCCCGTTTTTTCGTTTATTTTACATCGTAAAGTGCGTAAAGTAGTGTAAACTTTGGGCATCTCAAAAAAATATAACGTATTGATAATTGCCATAATTTTTTTACCCGACTGAAAGAAAATTTATCAATTAGTAAATTCTCGTTCACGCAATGATAATTAATGATTTGGCTACAGCGTAATATATTTTTTTTTGTCGCGCGGAAGCCATTTTGATTGAAGCCGCCATTTCGTTTATAGATGACGTAATCAGCATATCTCAAATTTCACTTCCCGTTTTGACAGGTTAAATCTTATTTTTAAACATTATAGTTGTGATACACACAAAATGCAAAATTCTATTGACGGTCAAGCCACATCATGCTTAAGAGACAGTACGAACGGACAGGATTTTAATTAAAAAACAAACAGAAAGACGAAATAAAACAAGATATGAATAATGAAATTTATGAACTATTAGTGGCGCGAAAACTATACAAACTATTCTGTATAGAGAATGATAAGGATACACCGTTGTCAAATTTAAGTTAAGGTTATGAGAATCATGCCAGGAGCTCTACTCTCTTTCTCCGAAACGAAATTTCGGCAACAAACGAATTTTAAACGAAATTTCGCCAGTTACTCTACTCTATTTCATCTTCGAAGACGCACATGAAGTTCGGAATCACAGACAATTATCGTGAACGAATGGAATGAGTTATGTTTGTGAGTTCTTTTCGTCTACACTTTTTAGATAACGTCTTTTACTTCAAAACAATATTACTTTATGACAACATTTTTGATTACATTAAAACAACCTCTTTTGACAGTGTTAGCCGACAATTTGAAGAGTTGATGCAATCGAATGTATGTCAACCTAAATTTGTCGTGTAACACTTTGAAGTATTGACAATACAATAATAAACAAAAATTAGATTTATTTGTAAATCTTTCTTACTAAAAAATGTTCCTCACGCTAAGCAGCATTAATTAAAAATACTCTAGTAGTAATTTTAGGTTTAATTTAAACAAAAATCCCAAAACGAAAATGAAAAGGTAACACTTTTCATTTCGTCAATTTCAGGTTAAAATTTGGAACAATTATCTGTCAAATTCAACTTTTAGTTCAAAAGTTTTGTGAATTAGAGTAGGCTTAGAGAATATAAATGTCAAACTATTTTCGGTCGAACGAATTTTCGAAATGAAATAGAAACAGAGTAAGGAACGTGCGAAATTTCGATCGAAATTTCGTTTTTCGTTGAAATAGAGTAGGCCTCCAGGTTCGAGGCCAATATTCAGCTAAAGCATTGGATTAACCATAATTAAATATTATAGTTATTGGCGCCATTTTTACCAGGTACCTTGTTTTATGTGGGTCTCCAAAATTTCGGCACTGTTCCAAGCTCTCAGTTAACAGTTACTCGGTAATCATGATGTTTGAAAAAGTGCCGAAATATCGGAGTCTCACATAAAACAAGGTACATAGTAGTAATCTGGCTAATAACTATAATGCTACTGACCATGAAAGTTTAAAACAATACATAATCTTATATATAAAATTCTCGTGTCACAATGTTAGTTACCATACTTCTCCAAAACGGCCGGACCGATTTTTATGAAATTTTATATGCATATTTCGTGGGTCTGAGAATCGGCTATTATCTATTTTTCATATCCTTAAGTGATAATGGTTGTCCATCTGTAACGTAGTGTTCTGAAACCTACAATGCGCCTTCGCGCCGAAATTCAAACTATTGGATACTGTAACGTAGTGGTCTCATATGGGTTAGGAGGAATATTAATTTCAGGAAATTGATAGAACACTACTACGTTACACACCCCTAAAAATATTATTTGGTAATTTTTTTTTATAATGTGGTATTAAAAATACATACAACCCTAAATTTTCTCTTCTACCACCTGCCCCTATTTTTATGGTGGTACGAAGTTCGCTGGGTCAGCTAGTTTTAAATAAAATATTACAAGTTCTTTTTTTTATATTCTTTGTTTTTTTTCTAGTAATATTTTCTTTAGATTTAAACATCAAGCAGTTGCTTAAAAAATTAAAATTATAATAATACATAATTTTATAATTACATATTCCCTTCAGGTCAAGGAGATCTCCCTCAGGATTCTATAGCGGCACTGTGCCAGTTTTACGACGAAAGATGCGAGGCACGCAAGAATAAGATGGAACTCAGCTTAAACTTTGATGTGTCAGGAAATTCGGACTCTGAAGGTATCCTTTTATTTGAAAGTTTGTATGTTTGTAACTCAATCATGCAAAAATTACTGAAAGTATTTGGATGAAATTTGATACGAATGCAGTCTATGAGCTGGATACTTTTCGTTTTGGAAAAATTTTAGGTTCCCGTAGGATTTTGAGGAAGTTGCATGATAAATCACAGTTATGAAATAAATGTCAGTTTATAATTAATAAGTTATTTAATAAGATGCATGCTGCTAATGTTATAAATGCAGAAGTGTGTCGGTCTGCTACCCCTTTCGCTTAAACCGATTAAGATAAAATTTTGTACAGAGATAGTTTGAGCCCCGGGAAAGGACACATGATAGATTTTATGCCAGAAATCTTACTTAAATGGGTAAACAGCGGGTAGAATGTTTGTATGGATAACAATTTCTCCATGCAGACGAAGTCGCTGGTACCCACTAGTCACCTATATAATTTTGATATAATAAAATTGTACTGTTGGTCACATCAAAATGTGCTTGTAACACAAAGGTTTTGTTTTTAGATAACAGACCACCAAAATTTGCCGATGAACTCAAAATATACTTGAGACAATTCAACTTGGAGAAGAACCGAAAACTTATTTTGGACAGGTATGTATTTATAATGAATATAATACTTACATCGCAGCCGTCTGGTTAAATTAGCCAGCTAATTTGTGGCCTTTCAATAAACTCCGGTATCCAATTTGAAGTCTAGGACCAAGCATCAGCCACATGATTGAAATTAAGTTTTCGTATTGAATTCAAGATGCTCCGAACAAACTAGCTTTTAAACGCACCTTACGTCATCATTTATTAGATTCCTCCTGTGCATCCTCTGTATGTAGTATATATATATATATATATATATATATATATATATTGTATCTTGTTTTTATAGATATACTTTAATTGTAATAATTAATTTGATGACTTTTTTGCACTACGTTCTTAAGATCTTTGCTATAATTCTCCGCCACTTGTACACTCATTTGTGCAATTAAGTATAAATAAATAAATGTCAAAGCACGTGGAAAATATCTGACCAAGACTCAACAGTGTAATTCAAATTTAGTAGGTACATCTTTGTTATTTGTTTTTTCAACCAGCAACACGAATTTATCTCAACACAAATTAATCAATCGTCCACAAAATTATTTCATAAAGTTGAGTTGTCGTTCAACGATTTCTTTGGGCGCTGACGTATAAGAACAGTCTAGCAGTCAAATTGGCTGACAAATTTTCATAATCAAAATTATTTATTCAGTTTAGGCTGTTACAAGCACTCATGAACGTCTAGAAGCTACGGCATCTGTTCGTAAATCTAGGGCGGGAGACCTTGTACTGAGAAGAACCGGCAAGAAACTCAGCAAGGGCTGTTTTTTTCCCTGTTTTATTATTTGCAGAGTCGTCAAGTTGAAAATGACTTCAGATATGATTATACATTATTTGTTCAACTGCATTTTGTTTGCTGTGTCGTACAGTATAAATACAAATAGTGTTTTTTATATAACGTGTAACTAGACATTTACATCTTAAATATCAAAGTAGTTAGGGCAGACTCATCTCCGCTGGCAGCACCCGTTCACGAGCATGACGTATGAACCAGCCATCGCTTCGCTCAACCATATTTTAGGGAACGTTACGTCCCACCTCACACGACACGACAATGAAATTCGAGATTGTATAATTATTGACATTGATTGTTTACATTTAAATAAAATATTATTATAATTAGAATTATTGTAATTTTTAAGTATAAGTAATTGAATAAAATATTTTGCATGTTATTTTCATATGACGTGCTTACTTTGGGGCTAGGCTAATTATTGGTGTGTGTGTGTGTTAGAAATATTTATTTATTCTATATTATTTTTGTTTTAGTGGCGAAAAGATCTGGATATTCGAAACATTGCGAGCTTCAGTTACGAGACTACAAGCCTATTGGCTTGAGAACGATTTACCCTGCACTCTGCTTTGTCCGGCTGAAAGCCTGTCCCGTAATTTGGAAATGCTCGTAGAACATATCAGAAGCAAAAAGGAGCTGGAAATAATCAGAGAAGCTGTAGAAAATGGTATAAATCAACCCAAAATGAACATAGGTAATTATCATCATCATCACCTTATTAAAGTCTATATTGCTGGGGCACAGACCTTCCCTATGGATGAAAGTAGGATTGGTGGGTGCTAACGACTGCAGATCCAGCCGGGACCAACGGCATAACGTGCCTTCCGAAGCACGGAGGAGCTCGAGATAATAAATTTTTGGTCACCCATCCAATGACCGACCATTGCGAAAGTTGCTTAACTTTCACGATCGCAGGCCGAATGCGTTAACACCACCTGCGCCAAGAAGCTCCATAAGAATTTTAATTTACACAGAAAACTATTTCGATTTGGGCGATTAAAAAGTACCTGAGTATTGTGCAATTATTTTAATGAAGATAAAATTGATTTTGATTTAATTTTCCAGACTTATCGTTTAAAAGTAAAGAAGAAAACATCATAGACAAGATAAAAAAGCGTTTGAACGAAAACATTTTGAATTTACAAAAGACGAACAAAACTCTTGACGGCGGACAGGAGAACTTGAGCTTTTGGGCCGATAACGAAGTGAAAAAATTCATATCGCGCAACAGAACCGTTGAAGGAAAGACGTATAATGATTACGAATCGAATTACATGGAGAGTGTCCGTTTGAGCAGTTAATAGTTACCTAGAAATAAATTTGACTATCGACCAAAATATTATTGATTGCTGACCTGACCCGCTAGTTCGATTATTCGTTTATAATTTGTCAAAACGTCAAAACAGCAACGCAACAATTTTCTCATTTAGAGAAATCATTACACATATGCATATGTTTTTACTTCAGTTACCTTAGACAAAAAAATCGCGTTTGGTAGCAATAAATTGTATTGTATTGATTTTTTGCTATCTTTATATATATAATTCTTCTGTGAGTGTGTATGTCACTGAACTTCTCTTAAACGACTGAACCGATTTTGATGAAATTTTTTGTGTGTGTTCAAGGGGATCTGAGAATGGTTTAGATTCACAATTTTGTCCGCTGGACAATTTTTTTAATTAAATTTTTTTATGGCGGTACGAAGTTCGCTGGGTCAGCTAGTATATAGATATATCTCTTTTATTATATTCACCTTAAATGCCGTATAAATTGCACGGTAGCGGCACAAAAAATATCTACTACATATGTAGATATTCTCGTCATTACACACGTACAAATTGACTGCTTAAGTACAATCTGAGATTAGAGTTACGCACACATTGGTCGAAACTTAAGCCGTTGTCTTTGCGTGATTTATTTGAATTGTTCTATCTTGGCGTATAAATAAATAATTAAAGAGTTAACTATTTCAAAATAAAGACTACCGAACAAAATATTATTGATTTGTAACTCACTAACTCCAATTATTATTCATTTGTAATTTGCCTAACCAACGAATTGGAATCAAAATGTAAGCATTATTCTCTAACAAAGGCCGCTAAAACATTGGTCCATACTCATACATACTAAACTTCAGAACTAACACGGCATGCATACAGACAAAACAAAATACTTTGACAAATCAAATATCTGAAAATGAATTCGGCTATCCGTTCGTTGGGTGAGATAATGTCAAACGTAAATCCCAACCAATCACATGATCGGCGTGTTGATCGCAGTGTTTTCGCCCCGCCCACTTGATCGTAGTTTGCGTGGAACTACTTTTTAGCGCAGTTCCTATTCCATATTATTTCTAATTCGTTGGTCGAAAGTACTAAGTTTATCTTCGTCAGAAAATGCACAATTTCCTTTTTTCCCTTTTCAGTCCAGTCACTACAGTAAAAAAATCGCGATCGGTTTGCAACAAATTGCACTGTACTTATTTTTTGGTAATGTTGTTAGGATAGTTAACAATGGTATTAAGACAAGTTTGCAGCTTCGGAAGATCTATTCTTATTGAGTGGTGATCGAAAAACCTCGACATTTTCGTTTTTTTTCATCTTCTGGCTTATAAATTTTGATAGGTTTAATTAATCTATTGGGAAAGGGGTTGTGGGTAATTACCGCTACCCTATCTAAATTACAACTCTGACTACGGCGGCTCTGGGTGGATCAGGAATAAAATAGGCTAAGCTATAATATTTGAATAAAATAATTTGTCAACTTCAAAATGTCACATTTCGTACAATAAATGTGTAATATGAAATATTTATTTTATTTCATATAGTGAATGAAAATATGTATGCAACTCCTCGAATTATGGTAAGTATTTATTTATGTACTTTTTAAATAAAAAATATTTAAATATTTTTTTCACCAGTATGAATAGATCATGTGTTTAAGTTAATAAACACTTATTTCCGATTCACACCTGAAGTCAGCGACGCGGTGAACAATCAATTCAGTGTAAAATAATTTTAGACTGCATTCATAAATGACCAGTATCGCTTGGAAGCTTCACCAACGTTTTAACGAAATTGTTCTTTTACGTATGCTGCTAAAGTTTAAAATAATTTCACTCAGCACTTGCTGCGTCGCTCTCGGCCGCTGCCATTCCGGTGTAAATCAGCCATTATAGGTGTCCGCTTGACGCACTTTGGCGCCGCCTTCGTGAGGCTACCTGGAAAGTCGGAGAAAAATAAAATTAAGTCTACAAAGTTTGGGTCACATGTGGTGGCGACATCTATATGGCCCACATATAACTAACATGGAGGAAATAATCACTCGCCTCCCCAAGAGATGGCGCTACCGGCTCTGCGTTCACAACGTATGGAAGCCTACATCGCGCAAGTGAAATTCGGCAGCCAACAGTTCATATATACGATGCCCGACCAACATCAGTCAGGCCTACCTCCGATATACGTCTCGGAATAGTCTGTAATAGACTTCAATCAGCTGCTACCACCCTTGGCGATTGGTTCCGTAGATGGCGTATCGAGGTTAATCCGGAGAAAAGCGTCGCGATCCTATTTAGCACGACACCACCTCCCACACGATCTCTTCCGAGCATCCAACTATTTCCCCTGGGAGGACCGGGTCAAGTACTTGGGTGTTGTTACGTTAGACAACCGATTAATGTTTGCACCTCATCTCAAGATAATTCGCGATCGCGCAGCATTCATTCGCGGCAGGCTATTCCACCTTATAGGGAAGCGTAGTAAGTTGTCACTGAGGCATAAGTTGACAATTTACAAAACATGCATCCGCCCTATCATTACCTACGCGAGTGTTTACTTCGCCCACGTACCTCCGTCGCGTCTTAAACCACTCCAAACGCTGCAAAATCGTGTGTTGCGCGGTGCCACGGGTTGCCCGTGGTACGTGCGCAACATCGATTTGCATCGCGACCTCAAATTAGACTCCATCGCGAAGTATTTGAAGGACGCCTCGAGGCGTTACTTCGATAAAGCCGCGCATCACCCGAACCCCTTAGTAGTAAAAGCGAGTAGCTATCATACGTCCGCCCTCCCGTCCTCCAATCGTAGGTCCCTCCGATTCCGTCGGCCTAGTCACGTCTTAGACTACCTCGACGACGAAATCACACGCGCTAACGCGCCTCCGATTCCTCCCACACAGGCCACAAACACCAACACTACACAGTTAGCAAACGTGCACACTAGCTTAGCATTAGGCAGACACCGCACCCGTAGGATAAGAGTGCGAAGACCCGGTCTACACACGACACGCTATACCAGGTACAGGTACGTACCTGGGCGTTTTTCCCCGCCCCCCACGGCAACGGCTAACTAGAGCCGAGGTCCGAGTCTCAGAGACGCCCTCTAGTTGAGCCGACCCCCTCAGGTTCGAGTGGTCTGGAGGCTCCAGACGGAGAGGAGACTCCCCCCGTGGGGAGACGCCATCCGACTGGAATACCTCCAGAGACACTCGCCAATTCTCGGCTTGAAGTCCCCTTAGGATCTCGCCGTCCCCAAACCCGGTGACGCTGTAAAGTTCATCTGCGACCAACAGCATACACACTCAAAAAAAAAAACAGGCCGCGGCCCCCGAGCTACCATCACCCAGCTCAGAGGAAGATCTTCCCCTTTGACCTTCCTACACACATACTATCCTAGTGATTGTAAAATAGACATGCAGAGCTGGCGAACAAAACGGTATAATTACGCATCTGGTAAAACTATTATTTTTTACAGTCCGGAGGTTTCGGGCCCGTTGAATTTTAATCTCAAATAAATTTCAATCAAAACTGCCTAAAACAATGTTTAAATTACTAAATTTATAAATTAAAAAACCATGCCAAAAGCTCACTGGACGTATGTCATTCAGTTTTATACAGCTCCTGTAAAATTTTATGAAATTATACCGTTTTCTTCGCCGGCACCCCTTATATTATATTAATTCATGATCTAGACAAGGATTATATTTAATTTTACTTACAAAACATTTTGGAGTTAATCTACCTACATTGTGATTGGTCACATTACCTTCAGTTTTTTTTTCAGTATTGAAGTTAACTATATTATGTTTTTATTTGTCATACCTAAGCAGATAAATGTTTTTTTTCATATATGAGCTCCTTATTTATAAGTGAAATAACTTCACCCCAACTGATTTTAAAAGACGGTGAGATGCAGACGCTTGTTTTACCCTCCACACTAGTCATCTTCACCTTGCCATCCCGCCAATGAGCATTAAAGTCCCCGAAAAACATCAGTTCTGCTGCGTGTCATATCATATGCTGCCCGACTATTGTCTCAGCGTCGCTGGTGTGGGATCTGTAGAGGCACACATAGACACAAACCGGGGGACCAGAGTCGACGTATACTCTTAACTAGGAAATGGAGCCCTTACAGGCAGCGCAGTGAACGATGCCGCGCAGGATGGGACAAATTATGGAGGTTTGTTTCCCCGAGTCGCTGAAGAAGAAAGTTTTGTCTCCAAGCTTCCTGTATACGGTCTGACTGCTCAGTTCTGTGCCTGGGTGGACTTCCTGAATGAGCGTAATATTCGTCGTTCTTGCGGACGGATGTAAATAAAATATAAATATTTCCAACTCACACCAATTAGGCCGGGACTCCACCAAAGCGGAGACGAGACGAGCGGAGAGATGTTTTTTAAACATCCAATAGAATTGTGTTATTAATACATCTCCTCACAGCTTCAGTGGAGATCGCTGTGCGAAGTTGTGTAATATTTGTAAGGCGTGATGGAAGCGGAGATGTGAGCTGTGCGCGGACGACGAGCAGTGGAGACGAGAGATGTGAGCGGTGTGCAGTAAGCGGTGTCACCCTCCCCCTCCCGCCCGCCAGCAACTCGCAGAGCCCCGCTGAGCACTCAATGCCTCGCACCCGAGCTGAAAAATATCTCTTCTCGCATAGCCTCTTTCTATGTTCTGTGCGCATAGCACACAGCACACCGCACACATCTCCGCTCTGGTGGAGTCCCCCGAGCTAAAAAACATCTCTTACACAGCACACCGCATACATCACTGCTTTGGTGGAGTCCCGGCCTTAGCCAAGCCCCAAAGTAAGCACTGTAAGGCTTGTGTTATGGGATGACTGTACATATATAAGTATACTAGCTGACCCAGCGAACTTCGTACCGCCCTAAAAAAATAGGGGTTGTCCAGCGGACAAAATTGTGGATCTAAACCATTCTCAGATCCCCTTGAACACACACAAAAAATTTCATCAAAATCGGTCCAGTCGTTTAAGAGAAGTTCAGTGACACACTCACAGAAGAA